CCGAGCAGAGCCCCCGGCAGCCTTCGCTGCCTTTTACGGCTCTTTAAATATCTTTCGCCGCTAATGGGAAAGCAGCTGCTGTCAGCCGCCTAATGCCGGGCTGGTGGCAGGCACCGCGCATTGTCTGCTGTCTGACCAGGCATGCTATTTATTGGGGTCTAAGGAGGGGATCTGTCTGTCTTCCCTTCCCGGGCACGCACTTGCAACGTTTAAAGGCTAAAGACGCGGAGATCTGACAGCGCGGGAGCTGCGGGAGGGTAAAACCCTTAGACAGCCCCTCTCCCAAATTCCCAGCTCCGTGACTCACCTGCTTTCAAATCCTGCCTTGTGCCTTAGACTGTGATAAAAGAATGACAACAACAACAAAACCCGCATGAAAGAAAATCTTCCAGCACCCTCCCACCCTGAACCAGAACATTAAAAATCTTAATATCCGCTCCTTCTGAACCTTAAAACTGCACCCGTGATAGAGCTAGGAAGGCTCGCTGAAAGAAGACTTGTTAAACCTTTTTTAAAGAAGGAATATCCACTACAGTGAAAAGTGAAACAGCATCCGGCACTGATCCATCCCAGGGATAGCTCTGTTAACACCTTGTCCATGAGCAGGCCACTCTGCCTGCAATCACGGCTTACCCCAAATGAAAGCCAATTAAAAGAACAGGGCAGTGAACAGAGCCGTTTTGTTGCTCAGCGAGGGTGTCCATTTTATAACAATATATATTTTTTAAAACTTTGAGCTGGTCCACGCCCCGTTTTCACAGAGCCATAAGTATAGTCATTTAGAAATGGATGCTGTTCAAGTACAGCCCCCTGGTGCACAGGCACAGCTGTGAGGGGTGGCAGGATGAAATAATACGGACACAAATATTGCTACAAGGGCTCTGAGATGAACACAGCTGCTGCTGTGGATGGAAATAAGCTATACCCCATAAGCACCTTTACACATGTACAAGGGGCTGTACTGGATTTTAAACAGATAGAGGCAAAGGAGGAGTGAAATTGTTACCTATAAACCAGCCTTTGCTGAACAGTTCCCAAGTGAGAAATGTTCCCAGCGTAATCACAGTGGGTCTAGTTCAGCAATCCGTAAGCAGGGGAGTCCACAGGAATTTTGTAAGAATAAGGTCTTTTGTAACAGGCTCCAGTTTCTCCCAGAGAGTAAAAATTATTTATCCACTTGGAAACAAAATAAAGCACTTTAAATTCCACCACCTTTTTTTTTTTTTGTCTACTTACAGGAAAAGAACAACCCCCTCCCAAACCCATTTACAGCCCCATTTGCTCCTGCTCCTCACTCTAGTTAGCGCCTCTTTTGGGAACACAAAAACTATTTATTTTGGGGTAGATTGCCAGCAATTTTTACCTCCTCAGAAGAAATGCTACCCCAAATCAGCGCAGCTGGAAGAATGCACTGCCGTTGACTAGCCCGGGAACAGAGAGATGCAGCAGGACCAGCCACAGGTATACACACACCTCGTGTGAGGAAGGGTTGGCAGACCAGGCTTTGGCTTTTAATGTGCCTTTCAAAGGGCTTGATTGATTGCTGTTAATCCTGTGAACAACTTCGGTGTTGTTAACAGGACTGCCCGCATTAGTAAAGGTACTTGCATGCATTAGTATGCTCCTCGTCCCCATGACGTCAATAGACAGCTTTCCAATGACTTCCAGGAGGGCTGGATCAGGCCCTTGCTAGCAGCAAGTTTTTAATGAACACCGTTTGGTGCGGGGAAGGGGGGCATAGTGATACATCAGTCCTGACTACCTTCATTCTCCAGGAAACGAGCAAGTAAAGAAGAAAGGCAGGAATAGGCCGAAAGGTTGCTGGAGGGGGATTCTTCTGCTGAACTTCAAAACCCTAGACCCATAGCACACAGAACCATCATTTGCTGAATGATATAAAATAAATCGCAGGCAAGTTTTGTTGCAAATAAATAAACAATATGTGTGAATTTTGTTTTTAAATAGTGATTTATCCTTCTTTAGGTCTAGGTAGCTGTGTCAGCCCATATACTCCCAGATTCTCTGCTAGCTTATTTTATTGAGATTTTTCCAAACAAAGCATGAGACCGTTAACAGCAAAGATGCACGTTCTGATCACAATTCGAAGATACAGCTCTCAGCTACTATTAAAGGGCCCGATCCCGCCAAGTCTTCTAACTCAGCTGGGATTGTTTACTTCAGCTTGTTAGGCTTTCTAGGGAGCGCTGACAGGATCAGGGCCTATTAGCTACATAATCAAATAAAATAATCGAGAGCTGCATGTGGGCCTCTAATACATCTAGCAAAAGGAGAGGAACCGTCATCCGCTAAACTCCGGGTGAGAACCCAAGCATTGGGGGGTGGGCCCGATCCTGAAAACCTTAATCTGCATTGTTGTTAATCAGTCTGCTGTGGTCAGAGGGATTATTCATCTGAGGAAGGATTACTCATGTGAACATTTGCAAGATTGGTCCCTGAATTAATGTGTGAATCAGTGTGGGTTGTTTTTTTTTTTCTTCTTTTTTTTTTCCCCCTCTCTGCCTTAGAATCAAGAAGGTTGATTGAGGAGAGAAATGAAAAACTATTTGCATCCAAAGGAGCTTAGTACAGGATTGTAGTCAATGTAGGCAACAAAAGGTATCACTGTAATAAAAAGGGAGCTTTGTTTATAGAGGCCTTTTGTTATTAAAGTAGCACTGGTGAGTTTCAGGTGGTAAAGTGAAGGCTGCATAGAAACCAGGGGTTAATAGAGGACAGAATAGAAGAGAGTGTGTATGCGTGTGTTCGCGTGTATGTTTAGACACAGGATTTGTGTAGACACATACATATACATCATTACATTCCACCCAATGGATTCTGTTAT